GCAAATTCGACATAATGTCACACAAACCTCCAAAAATGGGCTGGACAAAAGTATTGGCACCCTTTCACAACTGCGGATAAATAAGAATGTTACAAGCATGTGATGCTCCTGTAAACTCACCTGGGGCAAGTAACAGGTGTGGGCAATATAGAAATCACACCTGAAAGCAGATAAAAAGGAGAGACGTTCACTTAACCTTTGCATTGTGTGTCTGTCTGTGCCACACTAAGCATGGACAACAGAAAGAGGAGACGAGAACTGTCTGAGGACCTGAGAACCAAAATTGTGGCAAAATATCAACAATCTCAAGGTTACAAGTCCATCTCCAGAGAACTAGATTTGCCTTTGTCCACAGTGCGCAACATTATCAAGAAGTTTGCAACCCATGGCACTGTAGCTAATAATCTCCCTGGTCGTGGACGGATGAGGAAAATTGATGAAAGATTGCAACGCAGAATAGTCCGGATGGTGGATAGCAGCCCCAAACATGTTCCAAAGACATTCAAGCTGTCCTGCAGGCTCAGGGGAGCATCAGTGTCAGCGCGAACTATCCGTCGACATTTAAATGAAATGAAACGCTATGGCAGGAGACCCAGGAGGACCCCACTGCTGACACAGAGACATAAAAAAGCAAGACTACAGTTTGCCAAAATGTACTTGAGTAAGCCAAAAGCCTTCTGGGAAAACGTCTTGTGGACAGATGAGACCAAGATAGAGCTTTTCGGTAAAGCACATCATTCTACTGTTTACCGAAAACGGAATGAGGCCTACAAAGAACAAAACACAGTACCTACGGTAAAATATGGTGGAGGTTCAATGATGTTTTGGGGTTGTTTTGCTGCCTCTGGCACTGGGTGCCTTGACTGTGTGCAAGGCATCATGAAATCTGAGGATTACCAAAGGATTTTGGGTCGCACTGTAGGGCCCAGTGTCAGAAAGCTGGGTTTGCGTCCAAGATCCTGGGTCTTCCAGCAGGACAATGACCCCAAACATACGTCAAAAAGCACTCAGAAATGGATGGCAAAGAAGCGCTGGAGAGTTCTGAAGTGGCCAGCAATGAGCCCAGATCTAAATCCCATTGAACACCTGTGGAGAGATCTTAAAATTGCTGTGGGAAAAGGTGTCCTTCCAATAAGAGAGACCTGGAGCTGTTTGCAAAGGAAGAGTGGTCCAAAATTCCGGGTGAGAGGTGTCAGAAGCTTATTGATGGTTTATAGGAAGCGACTGATTTCAGTTATGTTTTCCAAAGGGTGTGCAACCAAATATTAAGTTAAGGGTGCCAATACTTTTGTCCAGCCCATTTTTGGGGTTTTGTGTGACATTATGTCATATTTGCTTTTCTGCCTCTGTTTTATATTTGTTCCAATACATACAAAGGGAATAAACATGTGTATAGCAAAACATGTGTTAATGCAATACCTTTTTTGTGTGAAATACTTGATTTTCAGGAAAAATATCAAGGGTGCCAACAATTTCGGCCATGACTGTACCTCCTTTTTTAAATTTACATATGAAAAGACCAAAAAAATGTAACTTTGGATAAAGTGGAAGAGGATTAGAACACCTCTCAGGTATGTATTGCTCCTTTGATGCTTTTTGGAAGATTCACTCTCTCTATATATCATGTTTACCACCAAAATTGAAAGTGAAAGAGAGAAATTTAGGGTTGTCCAGAAAAGAATAATAGAGAAATCTTCCAATGGGCACACTAGTTCTGGTGACCCTGGTAACAACCAGGGAATCCCTCACTTTTAAGGAATTTCCTCTCACTTCCTATTTTGGCTATGAGACAGGAAGTGAAGGGAAATCTCTGCAATGGGACGTAGATGGCAAAAAGAAAAAATCACCAGGGGTGTTAACTCTCCCTTACTCTATCCAATATTTTTTTTTTTCATTTTGCTTTTAGTTTTATGTTAAGTATAATCTGCCCTTTCTTGACCTCACATGTGTAGTTGGAAATAAACAGATATTTACCACTCTATTTAGAAAGAAATTGTAACAAACACTATAATAGAAGCATTGAGTTACCACCCAGCAATTTTGGTTTGGAGGATACCGATAAGCCGCTCCCAGTTCAGGCATGCAGAAACTATATGAGAAAGCAGGATTTTGAAGAAGAAGCAAAAAAAAAAAACAACTGAGACTAAGATTAGAGCTTGAACTTTCCAAATTTAAAAATGTAACCAGATAAACTACCAGTCAATTATAGGGATGCACCTTTACTTAAAGTGTTACTAAACCCAGGACCCTGCATTCACTATATCTGGTATCAGTACACAGAACATAGAAGTGCAATTATTTTAGTAAATATAAACTGCTAAATACTCTTTCTCATCAGCAGTTAGAGAAGTCTTGTGACTTCTATCAGTGTCCAGCTGAGCACTGGTTAAAGCTTGTAGGAGGAGTTTTCATTTTGCTCTAGGAGGATGCAGAACCCCCGACCTCTGTCTGAACAGTGCTGATTGGCCCTGTGCTGATCACATGCACACTCCCAAGAAAAAATAAAAACCTCTCTAGCAATACACACCAAACTGAGCATGTGCAGACTGACTTCACACGATATGTCTAGGAGATAAGAGGGGGACACAGGAAGAAGGAGAGGCCTATAGAAGTAAGGATCAAACAGCATTTTTACACAATGCAGAGGATTAACCCCTTAGGTTCCACAGTGAGTATAACAAGCGTGCTTTACTGCATATACAGACTGATTTTACTGTTGTGGGTTTAGTAACTCTTTAAGTACTGGCTGGTCCATAGTGTCTTTAATAAAAATGGTGATAAATGTTGCAACAATTTAGACATGTATTACTGTATATTACAGATTCATTCAAATTGGAATAGTAGTTCAAACAAGTACAGATGCAAAGACCCAGAGGTCCTATAGAGTTCAGGTATCAGTAGTAAGTGATGCAGAGTTCAGGGATCAATAGTAAATGATGTAGATAAGGGGTCATTAGTAAGTGATGTAGAGTTCAGAGGTCACTAGTAAGTGATAAAGAGTTCAGGGGTCAATGGTAGATGACATAGATTTCAAGGGTCAGTAGTACAGTAAGTGATTCAGAGTTCGCTAGTAAGTAAGTCAGTAGTAAATGACATGGAGTTCAGGGGGTCAGTAGTAAATGTTGCAGAATTTCGGGAGCAGTATAAAAAAAAAAAAAAAAAGGAGACCCGTATAAATAACGGTCCCTACCTTGTCACTGGGTTTTACTGGTACCACGTCCCTTATGATAAAGACACTAAAAAATACAAACACCCTAACTAGAAAAACTACTGGGACTTTTAAGGTACCATACCAACAACAAAACATACCAGTGTTATAAAAGTCATACATTTATTGTACAAAATTAAAAAACATGATTGTAGTACAAAAATTGAGCATCAACAGGCTCTCTAAAACATATTTTGCTATATATACCAAAAGGAAATACCTGTTTTCATAGGTACACAAAAGGGGAGAACCGCAGTCACTCACTTGGAGAAGGACCAGCTCATTAGTAGTTGTAAAAACATGTAGAATATGGGCAAAAAAAATGCCAATCCTAAATAAAGATAAAGCAAAAGGAAAAAAAATGAAGATAGAAGAAAAATCAAAAAATAAGAAAAAAAAAGAGGAAAAAGAAAGAAAAGAAACAATAAACTTGTAAACCCAGTATAATATATATACTCATGCTTAAAATGTAGAGGGGAACAAGGGATCACATTCTAAACCGAGCTAGTTGGCTACATGCAGAATATTGGTCATTCTGCCAATAGTCTCCTGGGGCCCAAATAGCTCCAAACTAAACCCTTACTCCCCATTCTGGTCTAGAAAAAATCCATATCAGGGCCTCTAAATTATCTACATTATATTGCAAAAAGTATTGGGACACCTGCCTTTACACGCACATGAACTTTAATGGCATCCCAGTCTTAGTTCGTAGGATTCAATGTTGAGTTGGCCCACCCTTTACAGCTATAACAGCTTCAACTATTCTGGGAAGGCTAGAGAAATTGCAATATCCAACACAGAGTAATGACTGTGAAGATATAATAAAAGCTCCCAGGTGCCAAGTCCTAATAAAGCTAATGACATATACAACCAAAGAGGGAAGGCCTATATAAAGACGGTATATTTATATGTATTAATATTTTATGCATCTACGAGATTTGAAACTGCACAGAGTGTATTATCCCTTTGGGGGGGTTTACACTCTATACAGATGTTTTTATGAACTGCTGCACAATTATGTATACTCAATAAAGTAACAATTTTAATGAACATTGCTGCAGTGCCTATAAAGTCCATTCTTTGGCCTTCCCTCTTTGGTTGTATATATCATTAACTTCTGGGAAGGCTGTCCACAATGTTTAGGAGTGTGTCTATGGGAATGTTTGACCGTTCTTCCAGAAGCTCATTTGTGAGGTCTGGCACAGATTGCGGACGAGAAGGTCTGGCTTGCAGTTTCCGCTCTAATTCATCTGAAAGGTGTTCTATCAGGTTGAGGTTAGAACTCTGTGCAGGCCAGTCAAATTCCTCCACCCCAAACTCACTCATCCATGTCTTTATGGACCTTGCTTTGTGCACTGGTGCACAGTCATGTTGGAACAGGAAGGTGCCATCCCTAAACTGTTCCCACAAAGTTGGGAGCATGAAAATTGTCTAAATGTCTTGGTATGCTGACGCCTTAAGAGTTCCTTTCACTGGAACTAAGGAGCCAAGCCCAACCCCTGCAAAATAACCCCACATCATAATCTCCCCTTAACGAAACTTTACACTTGGCACAATACAGTAAGGCAAGTACCGTTCTCCTGGCAACCGCCAAACCCAGACATGTCTGGATTGGATTGCGAGACACAGAAATGTGATTCATCACTTCAGAGAACACATCTCTACTGCTTTAACCCCCCTGGCGGTATTCCCAAGTGTAGCTCCGGGTAATGTTTCAGTACCACAAGCGGTAACCCCGAGCTACACTCGGGCTTACCTTGCGGCGCTGCTCCGCGATCCCTCAATCACTTACCTTGTCATCTGGGTTCCGTCCCCTGCGAGCGTCGGGACGTACGGGGGATGGAACGGCAGGAAATTTGAAAATGACAAAAAGTGACATTCACTAAAATCACTAAAATCACATAATAAAACATTACTGTATCAAACCATTTCACATACATTTTGTCCCGAGTGCTTTGTCCTGTGCCCTGCCTGCATTTTTACTGTTCTTTCTGCCTGGAAACTGAGAAAAGTCCATGGCGTCCAAAAAGCGTCCCTTTAGGTCAAAAGCGGTTTTAGACCAGCTAGAGAACAGCGATAGTAAATCAGAACCACTTGCAGAATTGAGTGATAATGATTCGTGGGGAAATTCGTCATCAGACACTGAAAACAATTTTGCGACTTTGCTCAGTGATGTGCGAACGTGGCGCTATATTTCAAATTTCAGTGTTTTTGGTTTGATTATATTATTGAATTAAATGTATTATTATTGTATTAATATTTTTTATGATTATTTAATAAATTATAATTTATGATTTTGTGTTTCAAGTTTTATCATACCCGGGATGTTTACTAGACTCTTGTTCGGACAGATTTCAGTGAGTTATTCCTAAAAATTACAGGCCTACAATAAAAAAAAAAACATATTTCCATGCAAAAAAATGTACCGATTTGAGCACAGAAATATGGACATAATCAGACCGCTAGGGAGGCTACAGTGCAGTGGCCGCGTGCTTTACACCACTGCATCCGACGCTTTGCATTGCACTTGGTGATGTAAGGCTGGGATGCAGCTGCTCGGCCATGGAAACCCGTTCCATGAAGCTCTCTACGTACTGTTGTTGTGCTAATCTGAAGGCCACACAAAGTTTGGAGGTCTTTAGCTATTGACTCTGCAGACAGTGACTTCTGCGCACTGTGCGCTTCAGCATGTGCTGACCCCACTCTGTCATTTTACTTGGCCTTCCACTTCATGGCAGAGTTGCTGTTGTTCCCAGTTACTTTCACTTTGTTATAATACCACTAACATTTGACTGTGGAATATAAACTAGCAAGGAAATTTCACGGATGGACTTATTGCACCTGTCCACAGTATATTTTGCCAGTAGTGCTGTGGAACATTCAGGTGCTCTTTTGCAAACTTCAAATGTGCTGCAATATTCTTTTTGGACAGCAATGGCTTCCTCCGTGGTGTCCTCCCATGTACTCCATTCTTGTTTAATGTTTTCCTTATTGTAGATGTGTCAACAAAAATGTTAGCATGTGCCAGAGATTTCTGTAGGTCTTTAGCTGACACTCTGGGATTCTTCTTTACTTCATGCAGCATTCTGCGCTGTGCTCTTGCAGTCATTTTTACAGGATGACCATGCCTAGGGAGAGTAGCAACAGTGCTAAACTTTCTTCATTTGTAGGCAGTCTGTCTTACCGTGGACACATGAACATCAAGGCTTTTGGAGATACTTTTGTAACCCTTTCCAGCTTCATGCAAGTCAACAATTCTTGATGGTAGGTCTTCTGAGAGCTCTTTTCTGCGAGGCATGGTTCACATCAGACAGAGCTTCTTGAAACCAGTAAACCCAAAACAGGTGTGTGTCTGGGCAGGACAGCTGTCAGCAACACATCCAATATCATCACACTGATTGGAGTCAAGGTTGGCTCACTCCTGGCTCCAGTTAGCTCTGGGAGAAGTCATCAAGCTAGGGCCTTACATACTTTTCCTCCCTGCACTGTGAATGTTTACATGTTATGTGCAATTAAACCATGGCAACATCTAATGTTTGTGTAGTATTATGTTCAGCAGACTGTGTTCTTCTATTGTTGTGACTTAGATGATGTTCAGAGCACATTTTATGCCCAATTTATGCAAAACTCCACGTAATCCCAAGGGGTTCACATACTTTTTCTTGCAACTGTATAATAATGCACAAAGGCACATTGCTTTCAAAAATGTCCCTGCTTTACAACCACTTTAAGCCGGCTCTTCACTGTGCACAGGGACAAAGGGGACTCTCGGCATACATCTCCCTTTCTCAGATGCTGCTTCATGGGTTCGAAGTCTGGCTCACACTGCACAGACATAGATAACATAGAAACTGCTGCACCGGATATCTTTAGTAAGCACTATGGTTGGGTGAGAGGTGCTGCAGCTCATGCTTTCTTACCCTAGGTTTTCCGCAGTGTTTGGCAGAAACGCCCTACAGTCCATTTAACACAATTTCCTATGGGACAGGTTCACATCTCCATGTTTTTGGAAAGGGTCAGGGACTTTTTTTAAATGCAAAAAGTAGCATTTTTGTTTCTATAGACTTCAATGCTAATGGTGCAGAAAAGCATGTAGTGCATTTATGCTGCGTTTTGCCGCATTTTTGATGTATTTTTGATGCATTTTAAATCTGCCGAGAAACAAGAAAACAAACCAGCAAAACACATAAAAAATGCAGCAAAAGCGCGTCAAAAACTCATGTGCAAAAAAAAAAAAAAAAAAAGCAAAACGCTCTGCAGACGCGGATCAGATGCTAACTGCATAGGTGTGAACCTAGCCTTAATGAGATGAAACTGGTTATATGGAAGTTGTTTGCAAAATGCACAGTGGTCATTTACCAAAATATGCCAGGTATACATCTTCATTCTTGGCAGCTGAAAATATCAGTGGGGGAGTGAAGGGAAGGCGATTTTGTACTGCTGGGGGTGCTACCATTAAACTGTTTATTTTACCTTGCCCTGCATGGACAAAACACAGATTCATTTTAATGACCTGCCTTTACAGATCCAGGACAGCAATTAGTTAATAACCGCAATAACCTCGGGGGTCACAGAAAACAAACTAAAATGATCCCTGTGGTCAATCAACATTTGTATAATGGTGAAATATGGAACAAATCATATAGAGATATTAGTCAATGTTGTTGCCTTCTACCATTATATAAGGTTTCAATTACCATTTCTTTTTCATATTTAGCTGTAAGCATATAGGCCTTCATGGCAAAACACTGTCAGACCCAATGTATCATAATTCCAATGCGGCTTTTTTTATAACTCTATATTCCCCTAAATCTAAACCCATTTGCAGCTCCTTCTTTACTGAAATATAAAGGATTGTGAATCATAGCTTAGAAGAAAATGGAAATATAATCCATCTTCCCTGTGACGCTGGTTTCAATTTGCTTGAAACTGTACAGTATGAAAATCTAGACTCACAAGGTAAATGGTTTTCACACGTTTAACATCTACTTGTGTCTGACATAGAAAATCACTTCTGTGATGTGTGTATTAAGTAATGCTGTTGCCTCCAAATGAATACAGACAAAGGTGCTTTATAGAGAAAATGTATCTAAACAGATATTTCTCCCAGCAATATTCATATCTGTGTAAAAGCCATTTGTACCTTTTAAATATTTTTTGTTGATCTCCTTAACCCGTTTAAGCCAGTCAGAGCCGCAGCTTTAAATAGGCTGTGATATTCAAAGCCAATAGGTGTTGCTCCTGATCTTGCCACAGTGATTGGCTGCATGGTGCTGATGTCATAATGCCTACTAATATTGATTGCCAAATACAACTATGTCACACTTCTGGGGGTGCCAATGGAATTGATCCCCCAGGTTGGGTATTTAAAGCCCACTCACCCTGCTGCTGCATACATGCATATTGCTGTTATAAAGGGGTTAGAGAATAGAAGTTGTCCATGTAACAAAGTGAAAGTTACTAAATAAATTATATATGTGCTCACTTTGAACACCCAATCATGTGTGTGCTAGGAATGTATTGCAAAAAAGTGAAGGCAGAGCTACCCGCTGTAACATCACACTGTAGTACTATATTCACTGTAGCTGATTTTCAAAACACAGTCCCCACCCTTGGCTATGACTAACTGATGCATTTCACCTTGCTTGTGCTTAATTGTAGAGGAACCTAGGTAAGATGGCTTAGCTAGCTCCACTTTCATAAGATCTGAACTGTCGGTATTTTATTTTGAATTTGGTGCAGGCATTTCACCACAATGTAAAAGTGGCACAAGTTAGAACTACCTGAGTTTGGTGCCCAAGCCACTATCAGAACCAAAACTGATGCAGATGATGCAGATGTTCCTTGATGTGTAGGCAGGTGGAATCTGCTTTCTCTACTGTAGGTGTTTCTCTATGGTTTCCTGGTCTCCTGAGGCAAAGGTCCGGTTGTCTATGCTGCATTTAGGTGACCATTTTGGGTCAGCAGACCCTTTTTAAGTGCCTGCCCCAGAATTTGGAGCACTTATGCAGGTCGATAGTGCAGGGACAGAGCACCTGCTTTCCAAGGAAAGTGATTCACAGTAGGAAGAGGTTCTGGATGAGTAGAGACAAGTCAGGGACACACCATCCTGTATCAGAATCCTCCCCATTGGGCTCAGACTAGCCAGGCCACATTCCACCCTTGGAGACAGACACTGTCGGTGCATCTGAACTTGCTGCATTCTACAAGTTGCACAAAACTGTGAGTGTTTCCCAGCCCTTTTGCTGGGCTGTTTGTAAATTTGGGCTGTTCCTTCAATACAAATCTTGTTATTGGCAACTGGAGTGTATAACAGGAGTTTACAACTGAACTGTGTTTACTACTCCCGCAACACCTTTTAAAGAGTAGTTAATGCCACAAACGTGGCACGCAGCTTTATGGAATTCCCCCCAGAGAGATGAGCTCTTTACTGTGCTGCTTCTCTTTTCACTGTCCAGCCACAGGCTGGAGTGGGTCCAGGACGACCAGGACATCCAGTACCAGAAAAAGTATTGAGGGGAAAATCTATTGACTGAAAACTTCAGCAAAAGCTGGTTTAATTTAATCTTTTAAGGGTATGTTCATTTTTATTTTATTCTTTTTGATTAAACAGCTGATTTAAACTTTATGAACATGTGGCCCACTTAGATTGTTTTAAACTGATAGTCTATAAATTCAATACTTTCTTACTCATTGAAACATGCATGAAGACTGGAAAGTCAGAATGAAGTCAGCCAAGCAAGTTTCATTGTTGGGAGAGGTCAGCAATGGGAGTCTCCATATTTGCATAGTAAAAGTTTCTTTTAACATGTACAACTTAGCAGGCAATCCAAATTACAGGGATGCCCATTTACCTACTCATTTCTTTCCCTGTTTGTC